AAGGTTTAATTTGCAATGCCTTTTTGCTCCATATATTCTCAATCTGTGTGAATAAGGAATGTATGCATCAGGAAAAGATAAGGTGTGAAGGCCATTGTTATAGTCAGAGTCAAGGAAAAAGAAGTAAAGAGACTTAAAGGACATCAAAGAATCATCAGGTACTGCTTACTACCCAGACAGCTGTTAAACTGTCTGGCATCATAGCGTGGATACATGCTTCGCAGTGTAAGAAGGCACCACCCCCAGCAAACCAATCATTACCTCAGGACCACGCAGAGTCAATTTTGACTCCAGAAGAAGATGTAGAGGAACAGCCTGCAATACCTTACCATCTACGCTCTTGTAAGGGTTGCCAGAAGCAGACGACGACCTAAAGCAAGGCCCAAAAAGAAGCAGTAGTGAGCCTAGCGCCTGCTGGATGTAAACCCGTGACTGCGGTTCCCTCAGTTGAGGTTGTCAGAACCAGAAGGGCCTTGCCTCCAACATGCGCCTCTGGTGGCGCGTGTTCCTCGGCTGCTGGTGTCTTAAGGTCTGAGGAGTCCACAATGACAATTCTTTTATCCAGCAGCAAGTGTGGATAGCTCAAACCCTTAATATTTCTAATTGCTGGGTCTGCAGCCACATCCAGCCCACTCTCAAGCTGTTCCTGTCCTGGCAATCCCACTCAATTCCCCAGACCTCACTGGAGGACCTCGTCCGTTTAACAAAACATGGAACAATAATGACACTTGGAAAGCAGTGGGAATAAATGTATCTAAATGGATAAGTGTGGTGGAGGGAAAAGGTCATTGGTGTTGCGTGTGTAATGGGACAGGGCTGGATCTGGGAAAAAGCCGTTGCCTTCAGCATATTGTGGCCAGTGATGTATGGGATTATTCGAACAAAACTAAAAAGTGGCGGGCTGGGTATGGGGATATGACATTTTTTCTTGACCTGAGGATCAAACAGAAAAATCAATTTCATGTTCCCCCTACAGTAACCTTAGTGAAAACAATACAATCTTTCAACACCATGCAAAAAGGCTCTTGAGTTTACAAGCAGTAGTTGAAATAATGGCAAATGACACCAGAGAGAGTTTAAAAAACCCTGGCCAAAGAAACATGGGTGATCTGACAGATGGCCCTCCAAAACCATCAGGCATTGGACATAGTGCTGGCGGCCAAAGGAGGGACCTGTGCTCTCATTGGAAAAGAATGTTGTGTGTTCATACCTGACGACACCAATGAGGTAATAGATTGCTCTAGTCACTTTGAACAAATCGCATAACTTCCCCATGAAGAGCCAAGTTCTTTATGGAAGTGGCTAAGTAACCTGTTCAATTTCTCTGGCATAGGAAACTGGTTGTTTCAGGGAGCCCTAGCTATCCTGTTTGAAATCTTAAAGATTTTTGTATGTTTTCAGCTAATCTCCTGTTGTATCCAGAATTGTGTAAGGTATGCCAACCAAGTGACTGCCCCAAAACAGAGTGCTAATATGATGATTTCAAAATATCACGGATGAACGAAGAGATAAAGAACAATTAATATGTGGAACCCAGTAATTGTTGCTCTTTGCGTAAGCTTGACCAAAAGGATGGATTGTGAAAGTGAAATGAATTATATTAAAGAAATAGAATGAATTAAAGAATGCTGTATGTACCTA